GATAGATAGATAGATAGATAGATAGATAGATAGATAGATTGTACCTCCTCGAAAGGGTGAATTTATTCTTTATTTTAGTCATCTTAGACTGGTCAAAATTAAACTCATTCTCCAAACCAAGATCATTCAGAAAGTTATCTACAACAGGTAAGATATTTTTTTCATAAACATTCCACAGAACTCAACTTCAAAAGTTTTGAGGTATGCTTTTATAAGTTCAGTTCATGCACACTTCAGGAGCCCTGCGTCAATCTGCGACTCCCCTCTGAGGCAGCTTGTGTTCTGTAGTGACTAACAGAGCAGCAGATAGGAAGATAAATGAGTTCTGCCTCTCACTCAGTGTACTCACATCAACTCACGTCCTGGTGAGAAGAGCTCTTGTCCGTATATTTTAATGAAATCTCAGCACAAAGATGATTCCCAGAGGATGTCCGAAAGGTTTTATATTTGTTGCCAATTAGTTGGAGCTGTTGTAGTGTGAGATAAAGGATCATGTTGTGCTCATTTCCAACTCCAGGGAGTCTTGAAATCTAACTCCACTTGATAGATTACCACTCAGGAGGCGTACATGATGTGTCTTCTGAAACTCTTCACAACATATCTCCAAAAATGTGGATAACAAGAGCACTCTTAAGCGATCCAGAGGGATAATCTTGATGTTTCTTTCTAAGTCTAAAGAAGGTCAGATGCTCCATCAGGACACTAGCAGAGTTCTATAAATGAATCAGAACTGTTTGTAAAATGTTACTTGGTATCTTTAGTAAATAAGGACTTTGATAGATAGATGAAGTGTGAAGAATGATATCCACTCCCTGGCACTTTTACAGATTACTGTTTTAAACCATTTTGAATCATTCAGGATTTTTATTTATTAATTTATTTATTTATTTATGTATTTATTTATTTTACCAATTAGAACTTGAATCTATCAGTTAAATCAGWTTAGGTGATGCAGTGTGCTTGTTTTTTTTTCCCCTCTCCTTCATGTCCAAACAGCATTTTAGTTCAAAGAACACATGTCTGATTTTACCTTCAAATCACACGGCTTTAGTTATTATCTGACCCAAGGACATACGAGGTCCGACCTGATGCAAGCAGGTGCTTTGTTCCAGACAATCTTTCATGATCACAGTCTCCCAAGTATCCAGCTGCTCCTCTGGTTTGATCTTAAACAAACAGGTGGGAACAGGAGGGGCCTGATTTGTAGATCAATGGAGGAACAGAGTTGTGCAGATAAATCGAAAAACCTTTTTTTATGTAAGAAATTTTAAAACTAGCATTAAGTGATTACTTTTTTTAAGGCTGAATGTTTGAACACTGCATCAGATTATCACAATGTCCATGTACAGGTAAGCTACGAAAAAAAATCTTCACATTTTGTTTAAAACTTTTCTCTTCTGTCTTTCTCCCTGGTGCTCCTGTTGTCTCCAGTCTTGTCATCCTGTCCTCATGTATGTCCACATTTCCTGCACACACACGTCAGCCCCTCTGATGTGTTCTCCTCATGGGGTCGAGCGTAATCGCAGATGACAAACTGCTGCTGTGCTCTGGCTTGACTGCTAAAACTGAGAGAGTTCTCCTCTCATGGCAGCAGACGCAGCGCCCCCACATCTGCATCTGTATCACAACACCTGCAGTAACACAGCAGGACATCTCCTCCAGACACAGACAAACTGACACGATCGTGTGTGTGTGTGTGTGTGTCTGCAGACAGACATCCGCAGGGGAGTTTCTGCAGCTGTTCTACAGGTGGTTGTCATCTATATGTCTTATATAAAGCAGGGATTGAAAGAAAAAAAAAGRAACACTTGCTGGGTGGGATTAGTTTAGTGTCTCTGGGTGTCTTTTAGCTCTGCAGTTTYGGTGCAAAGAATGGTCATGGAGTTTTGTGCACGTATTCAGTTCTAAGAAAGAAAGGCCAGTGAAATGGTTGCACAGACCAGTCCATCTTTGGTGCTCCCTCTGGCTGTTCATAAATCACAGATGGAGCAGTCCTTGTACTGTTTGTGAGCTTTCAGAAATGAGGAGAGAAATGGAGAACACAAAGAGATATGGAGCAGAAGTAAGCTAAATGTTAAACATCATCATTTTCAAAAGCRTCAGTTTAGGGATACTCTGCAGTTAATTACATTTTGCCTTATTTACTACCTTGCTTGGTGGCACAAAAGTGCATCAAGAATGGGCTGGCTCCAATACCCCTCTCACCACCTTTGTACATYCAGAAACAACACAGAAATGGCCAGAGAGTATCTAAGTCCTGGCCTGAGCTGTTTTATGTAAAAAATTAMAAATTAAAAAACAACAACCTAACATTCACATCAGACAGGACTGACAAGCTAACAGCTAGTCTGATGTCTAAGACTCAGAAGGTTCAAAGAGCAGCAGGCAAGACATCCATCCATCCATCCATCCATCCATCCATCCATCCATCCATCCATCCATCCATCCATTATCTAAACCCACTTCTTCCATTCAGGGTCACTGGTGCCCATACCCAGCAGTCACTGTGTGAGGGGCAGGGTACACCCTGGGCAAGTCGCATGTCCATCACAGTAAGATAAGCCAACAACTGTTAATGCCATTTTGACAGAACCCCTTAAAATGTTCAGAATATTCATTTAAACTTATTAATGCTTAAGCAGGTTTTAAAYTGCAGGCGTTCTATCATTTAGTCTTTATTTAGACAATAAACAAATAAATACATTTGTACAAATGGATAGTTAAACAAATCATAAATGTAGATAACAAAAATATAATATTCCAATTTATGTTTGCACCATGTTTTGTGCATTTTTAAGAAATTAAAACAAGAGACATTATGAACTTTTAGGGAAGCAATGAAATATTTACAACGTTTTCTAGCAATGACATACTGAGCTCAGTTACCCTAACAAAATTCACCAACAGGACAGTCAAAAACCCATCGTCATTGATTCAGTCTCTGATCACTTTTTGTTGTTAGCACATACTTCCAGTAATAGTATGAAACTATTTTTATGTTCTTTCTGGTGTTTTTTTTATTTTATTTTATTTTTTTTTTGTGTTAGATTTGTCAGCCATCATGCTGGATACCCACAGGCTGTATTACATTTTTTTTCACTCTTTAGTCTTCAAATATTCCTGAAAAAAATTTATTTTTCTCCATTTTCAGTGAATAAGGATAGAGCAGAGACCTATGACTCATTGTCTCATTAAAAATGAATGTGGAATCTTCAAATGTGTGTTTTCTATTATAGATTACTTGAGTTTCTTTACTTGCTTACAGCCTGAGGGCTGTTCTCTGTAGCAAACTGTAGTTAGCATGCATCTAAATTACTGATTTATGATTTGTGGAATTGAACTATTAAATAAGTGAGATTAATAAATAGTCTGAAACTTTGTGAGAAGAGTACTGCGAGACGGTTTTATGAAGCCTTAGACAGTTATTTGTGATAAAAATTACCCTCATATCTTAGATCCTTTCTAGATAAACATTACTCTTTWAAGGAAAATCACAGTGACGACACAATCATACGATCATTTCACAACATGGCTGGTGGGCAGAAAAAGAAAATTTGCTTTTTGCTTTGCAAATGTCAATGTATTATGCCTCATATATCACTTGCTTCTTCACAAACGTGAGGGACAATGGTSAAATCCTGCTTTGTGGATGGATGCACAAGTAAGGGAAGAGGAGCAGCATTTCCTGGTTCTGCATTAACAATCCAGATGATTCTTCTTTTTGGCAAATAAAAATTTGTGATCCCTCTGTAAGAATGTACAGCTCAGATTCTCCTTCATACATGCTAGTTAGAGCTGATACTGAAATAAAAAATACAAAAATCTAAAATGTGTAGCCCAGGTCTATTCAACTGACAGCCCACAGGCCACTTTTGGCCAGCAAGTGACATCAATCTGGCCCATTGATGCGTATATATATATAT